GGGAACGTGCAACGGAGGAATCATCATCATCATCCCACCATCATCCCAATGTGTATAAGAGACAGGTGGGAACGTGCAACGGAGGAATCATCATCATCATCCCACCATCATCCCATTATCATCCCATCGTCATCCCATCGTCATCGCAACGCGGGTGGGACCGTGTGCCATTGGAATCATCATCATCATCATGTGGGATCTCGTGCAACAGAGCGATCATCATCGACGTCATCCCCTCACTGTCATCTTCTTCATTACTCCTTGACCACTCAGGTGGATCCTTGCGAAGGTGGAATCATTATCATGATCGTCTAATCATCATCGTCATCATCGTTTTTTTGAAGGCGCCTGGCGGTGCACAGGGCCACCAGGCTGCCTAACGGCTGTGAAAAGGCCTGGTTAGACCTGAGGGCTGAGGCCGCTCGGACCGGGCGTGGCGGCGGGTGGCTCATTCGCCTGGAAAAAGAACCCAGCAAATCCCATGTTTTTTCGTTTGGTTTTTTCATGAAGTATTAACGTCGTTGTCACTAATGACTTTCACTAATGACGTCTCTTGTATTGTATTGCATACGTTTCTCCAGGTGGATGATGATAAGGAAGAGAGCTCGTCCATGCCAGCGGATGAAGCAGAGATGTCAGAGGGATCACAGAAAGAAGTGAGTTCAGTGGGTAGAAGACATAGGAGAGTTGCGGGGCATCATTGACGGTGTTAGGACGGAAGCGGAGTCATGTGCACGGCCATGTAGGCTGCATTGATTTGACGCGTCAAGGAGCCATGCCGACCTACCATGTCTTGTGTGCGTATGAAGGCCCTACAGAAGGCATGAGGCTCATGTCTCGTCTTGCACATGATAAGTCGGTGAACGGTGGCGATCATTGCGAATTTGCTGATTTGCTAGGATGAGCGGAAAGCCGGATATATTTTTGCCTCTTTGCTTCTTGGTGGGGGTTGTGAAAACCGCAACATTATCTGTTTGACGGCTAGCTAACCCTGGGCAGTGGATGGAGAAGGACAGCGGTGCTATTCCTGGATGTAAGGTGTCAGAAAAGAGTGCAGGACATCCAGTGTGCTCGTTTCCACAGCCATGCTTCTTCCATTTGTTTCAGGAAGTTGTGTTGTGTGTGTGCATGGACATGCACACTTTGCACACGTGCGTGTGTGCTAACCCTCACGTCTCCCCTGTTAACCCCCCATCTCCTCCACACACACTCTCACTCACACACACACACACACACACACACACACACACACACACACACACACACACACTTTTTGCGCGGAGGTGTATAGACTCTCTCTCTTATACACATCTATATGCTCTCTCTCTCTCTCTCTCTCTCTCTCTCTCTCTCTCTCTCTCTCTCTCTCTCTCTCTCCCCCCCACACACACATTTTGTGTAGAATGTTCCTCTTCCACACTATTTTCCTTCATGTGTCACGTAAGCTGCGTGCCGTCATCACCCACTCTCTCTCTCTCTCTCTCTCTCTCTCTCTCTCTCTCTCTCTCTCTCTCTCTCTCTCTCTCTCTCTCTCTCTCTC